TACATCTACATCTATTATCGATCCTCGATACTCTTATTGTTATTTATTGTTTTATACACACACGCACACGCACACAAACAAACAAACAAACAAACAAACAAACAAACAGACAGACAAACATATATACATATACATGTGTACATACATATATATATATATATATATATATATAAATTTTTTTGTTTGCTTGGTTTTTATTTTTTTTTCATCGTTTTTTTCGTGTTTTTTGTTTTGGTTTTTGTTTTCGTTTTCGTTTCGTTTCGTCTATGCTTTCAATTCAGTTCATTTGATCACTATCATTATTATAGCAACACTATTAATCTCTATCAAGTATTTCGTTTGCTTTATTGCGACATTGAATTTACTGGGCAGCCGTAGCGAGGTGGTGCTGTGTGGACCAGTGCGGTGGGACTGAGGTGGTCGGTGGTCGGACTACGGGGGCGAAAGCGCTGCTGTCCCCGGATGAATAGAAAATTCCGTACTGTTCGTGCGCTAAAACGAAAAAGAATCCACAAGAGATATCGTGAGTGAGAGCCGAGTGTGTCGGTGAGGGCGGCAGGCAGGCAAGCCTTGGCGCATGCAATTCGCTCGACGGCCCATTAAAGACGGAGAAAGACGACGAGCCTCCCAGCATCACCTTTAGCCAGCCCTCGGATCGTCTCCCCCGCGACGGCAAATCATCGCACGAATCACCAAGGTTCGAGCTCCTCACGACCCAAAGCCGTCGTTGACCATTACCACGTGGCCTCATCGAGTGCAGCCTCCGCCCGCCCCCATCCGCCCTTCATCACCGTCCTTTGGATAAACCGCGCAAGGGTGCTCATCCCACTGCTCGTCCACTACTGTTACGTAGAAAAAAATTGCGTGATTCGCTTGGCACGAGACTTTTCGATTATTTCTTTTCTTTTTTTAAAGTCATCGCCGATCGCGCGGCACTAGCCAAGTTGCGAATCGTCTCGATTACGATCTATCGTCGGTCGCGCTGCCGAGTCAAGTTTGCAAGATCGTCCGAATTCTCGCGGTGGACGTGACTTGAAAAGAAAAATTGCGCGCTGAATAAATAAATGGTCGTTGCAACGGCGTCGTCGAGACTTACGAGATGGCACGAGTGGACGAGCTAAGGGGGTTAGACAGAGAGAGAGAGAGAGAGAGAGAGAGAGACAGAGAGACAGAGAGACAGAGAGATAGAGAGACGGAGAGAGAGAGAGAGAGAGAGAGAGAGAGAAGTGAGAAGTAAAAAGTAAGAAGTAAGAAGTGTGAGAAGAGAAAGAGAGAGTGTGAGTGCGCGGGAGGGGGGGGTTGGAGAATGGTGGCAAAGAAGAGAGTGAGAGAGTAAGAATCGTGGTGTGCGTGACATGGCGGACGGTGGTGAATAATAATAAACCGACACGAGAAGAGAGGTGATGAGGATCGTCCGATGCAGGCGGTGAAGCAACGTGTGAGGCGCGAGCGGATGAAGCGGAGGAGAAGAGGCGCAGGCGGATGTGTGAGGAGCCCGGATACTGAGAGGAACTTACGGGAGGTGTAGAGCGTGGGGCTGCCGGTGTAGGGGTTGGTCACGGAGTAGCTGCCACCGGTGCTGTGGCTGTGGGGTGTGCTGGCGGTGCTCCCGCAGTAGCCGCCACCGGCGCTCCCAACGACGCCACGGGGGCTGGCGCTGCTGCTTTGCCGATAGGCATCTGGACCCGTAGCACCGGCCCCGTTGCTCCCAGGTCCGTTGTTACCCGGGCCGTTGCTCCCGTTGGTCCCGCTACCGGCGCCCGTCGGCACCGACGCTCCCTCTAGAAATAGAAACCTGCCCGTCAGACACCACGTCAGTATGCGTGACTCCAAGGTGCTGCGCGACTTTACGAGGAGCTCGCTTTACCCCTCGCTATACTCGCTCGGACTTCTCTCTTTTGTCTTGGATTTTCCAGGGGATCGTGCGCGCGCTAACAGATCCTTGACAAGTGGTCATTGAGATTTGTGGCCGACGGGATTGACGCGCATGGAAATTCGGTGGTGGGTGAGGAGAAATTTCGAGAAAGGAGAAAGCTCGCGTTTTGACAGTGCCTGACCGGTGGTGGCGATTCGAGAAGTCGAGCGGTAATGTAAAGTGCGGCCTGAGAAGGACGAGGATACGAACCGTCGGTCCACTTTGAGGATGAACCGTTTTCCTGTACAGTCACCGCCAGTTGTCCCGTGTAGGAGTTGAATGCCGTGGCTGAAGTCGAGGTCGGGGGCTGGTTCGCGTGACTCGAGCCGGGACTTCTCGGCGCCGAGGATATGCCCGAGGCGTTCGTCGTCCGCGGCATACTGTACAGCGCCTCTGCCAAGTCGGCCGCTCTCTTTAGTATTATTTCCTTGGGAAGTTTGTCCGGGTCGCCAGGATGCCGGGGTATGAGCTTCTGTAACCTCTCGAAGCCGTAGGCGATCGTCGGCTCGCTCAGCGCTAATAATAAATAAACGATTCCCTCAATGCTTTCGTTTATCCAAGCACAAGTATTTTTCTTTCCTTTTC